TCTATCTATCTATCTATCTATCTATCTATCTATCTATCTATCTATCTTCCATAGGATATCTGTTTTATTGTTTTGCGTGCATTTAATTTTTCTTGTGTTTTCTATGTTCTTAAATGATTTCAGGAACGGGAGCTGGAACTGCAGAAGGAGCAGAGGAGGCAGGAGGAAAACGACAAATTGCGCCAAGAGTTTGCACAGCACGCAAATGCTTTCCACCAGTGGCTACAGGAGACCAGGTACACAACACGCGCACGTCCAGCCAAGCATGAGTAGACTGTGGCTCTAATGGGAATATCTGCAGTGCTGGTCTTTAGCTATAGTGGTTTCTCGGCTATACTCAATGACTGTTGTGACATGAGGTTATTAATGCTTTTGTTTTCTCTCTACACCTCCATCACCATCCCCGCTTGTCGTACTTCCGAAACTTGGCTGTTTCCTTGCTGTGGCTTGCTGCTGGGATACCTGTGCTCATCAGGACATATCTTCTGGACGGGTTATTATCACTTTCTCAATTTATTCTGTTGGAACAGTTATTTATGTTTGTGTGTATGTGTATACATATATATATATATATGTGTGTGTGTGTGTCTGAATGGAATGTATATATGTTTGCAAGCTCTGTAAAATTAAACATATAAAATGTATTTGGTTTGTTTATCAGCATGACATGGTATGATACCTTGTTTCAATTATCTCTGTTTTGTGGTGCTAGATCGTGCATGGTGGAAGAGTCTGGTACCCTGGAGTCCCAGCTGGAGGCTACCAAGGTAAATTATCCTTTTCACTGCTCACATTCTAACGATCTCCACGACTCATTCTTGTCAGTCCTGACATCAAACATTTTGGATCAGCTGCAGGCTTTTGTTTTTATTATTTGTATTATTATTTAATTAAATATAATTCAGAATTATCAACATATGATTGCTTGCTTTTCTTCTACTTAGGAGTTTATGCTTAACCTTTTCCTTTCTTACTTTCTTTCTTTATTTAAAAACAACAACAAAAAAATATTTCCTTCAGCAAATTTCTTACCATTCGGCTAAAAACTTTCCCAAGTTTTCGGTTTGTGCGCCTTATAAAAAAAAAAAGAAGAAAGAAATCACATTGCTTTGAGTCGTCCGTTCTGATGCTTTGATACTTGGTCTATTTCTCACTTACAACCTCCCATTATTATTTTAGACTTAGTCCAAAGTTAAAAAATGAGTATCATTTACCCTCCTTACCTTTGATTTAAATAATATTTTCTTCTTTGGGACCATAAAGAGAACTTCTGTTTCTGTTAATTGCCATGTTCAACATTTCTCTTTTAAATGTTAACTGGTTTTCATTTAAACTCAAGTATAAATTGAAAATGATGTAATTTTCCCTTTTAAGGATGTATTTTATTCAGTTTTATCTAAAAATGCATGTGACTGCTGTACTTTTTATGTTAGAAAAAGCCAAAAGAACTAAGTTCTGTTCTTCGTTGGCCACTCGAACAATCGTATTTATGTATGTGCATAAACTGACCGAGGAGAGGCTTCTGAGCGCGTCGTACTGACCGGGGTTTTTTTTCTCTCTGTGTAGCGGAAGCACCAGGAGATCCGGGCCATGCGCAGCCAGCTGAAGAAGATTGAGGACTTGGGCGCAGCGATGGAGGAAGCCCTGATTCTGGATAACAAGTACACGGAGCACAGCACGGTGGGCCTGGCCCAGCAGTGGGACCAACTGGACCAACTGGGAATGAGAATGCAGCACAACCTCGAGCAACAGATCCAGGCCAGGTACACCCTCCAAAAACACTCCATTGCTAGCAGTTTAACACTAAATTCATTTGGAACTCGAACCAAATATGGAAATGTGCAGCTGGAAGTTTATGTACCATTTCCCTCTTTTAGGAACACCACTGGTGTGACGGAGGAGGCTCTTAAGGAGTTTAGCATGATGTTCAAGTAAGTGGCTTTTTATGGGCTTTAATCAGGGTTTTAATTTTTTCTGAATGTAGCAATCTAACCACAATCCTTCCGTCCCTCATCTAGACACTTCGACAAGGAGAAGTCTGGCCGTCTGAACCACCAGGAGTTCAAGTCATGTCTTCGCTCGCTGGGCTACGATTTGCCCATGGTGGAGGAAGGAGAGCCCGACCCGGAGTTTGAGGCCATACTTGACACCGTGGATCCAAACAGGTCAGACATTCCGCACAGTGAATACCACATACCATCTAGATTACTTAAGGTTCCAGCATTCTATTTTGATTAGTTAAGATGGAATAAATTGCTAATGCAATATTGCCACCTCAAACCAGAAACGTTAGAGCGTGAAAATGAAAATGGCTGCACACAAAATATTGCTGTTACTGTATGAAGCAGCCTGGAAACGTGAATTTGAATGTATATTTGTCTTTTCTGCTGACATGTAAGCAGTTTTTTTGCGCACTCATCAACACAATAAGAAAGCTCATCTTAGGTTTTATACAAATAGTTAATTCTCTGGCAGTGGCATCTGGAGAAAAAGACAAAAAAAAGACTTTGTGCAATCAACAGAAAATCTCTGTCATGTATGAGCACTTTTAAGGCCCTAAGAAATAAGAATGGGTAATTTAGTAAAAGAGTAAATATTATTAAATCTTAACCGTTACTTTTTTCCTTTTGCAGGGATGGAAACGTGTCACTACAGGAGTACATGGCATTCATGATCAGCCGGGAGACAGAGAACGTTAAATCCAGTGAGGAGATTGAAAGCGCTTTCCGAGCTCTCAGCTCTGAAAACAAGCCCTACGTCACTAAAGAAGAGCTCTACCAGGTAGGACCTCTCCTCTCATTTCACTCTTTACCTCGTATCCGTGCGATCTAGATGGTCTTACCGTTTCCTTCTTCTGTCCAGAACCTTTCCAAGGAACAGGCGGACTACTGCCTCTCGCATATGAAGCCTTACCTGGACAGCAAAGGACGCGAGCTTCCATCCGCTTTCGACTTTGTTGAATTCACCCGCTCGCTGTTCGTCAACTGATCCGGCGCCAACCAGTGACCCTCTGGGACTCGTTTTACTTCACACTGCTGAAACTGCATGATTGTGGCACTATAGATACTCACTAATATGTCTAATTGTTCTAAGTAGAATTTCCTGTAGTGCTTGATGCTAAGCGATCTATCTGCATACGAACATGACTGCTTTTAGATGTTTCCATTAGTGCTTTTTATGAATTTACCAACTAATTTTGTGACAACAGCTCAACAACTGCAGTGCGCTTTAATAAACACTGGTTATAACTGGAAACCTCAGTCGTGTTTATTTAATTTCTCAATCGCTAAACTATTAAAAAAAAGTTACAAAAAGTATTTCAATCCAAGTCCAATCGTCAGTCTTTTTTTTCTCTTCCGGGTTAAAGTTCCTCATTCTGCCACTTGACCTGCTATATGGTCAAGAAGGCTGATTTCTCTGGGGCTCTGCTCGGTCAAATCGTCGCTCAGCTTCCAAATGCCGACCGTCCCGTCCGCTTTCCCCACCGCCAGGAGGTGAGGGTTCCCCCGGCTGAAGGCCAAACACGTGGCTGCCCGTCCGGGGACGCCCGCTATGGTGGCCGCCGGTCTGGGTGACCGGTGGCCCAGGTCGAAAATGTGCACCTCGCCTGGGGAAGACGTTTTTGATTAGACGATTCGGCAACCTGCGTTCTCACAATCTGCATACTGGTTTGGTACTCTACCTTGTCCGGTAGCCGCGGCGAAAACCAGCGGTCTGGTTGGAGACCACTGCGCCTGAAACAAGTAGGAGTCGGAAACCCTGAGGGAGAGCAGCGGGTTGGCCTGGAGCAGAGAGTAGATGTGGGCCGAACCCTCGGTCCCCGCGCTCACAAACAGGTTCCTGCAAAAACAAAATCAAAAGGTGGTTCACAACAGAGACGGCTACAGGTTAGATTTCCTCTGTATGGCGTGTTTCCTGTGGGCGGAGTCACCTGTGGAACGGCGAGCAGTGGACGGAGTACACGGGGCCGGAGCGGGGGGTGAAGGAGAAGACGGCCGGGGCTCTGGACGCCACGCCGGCGCCGTCGGCCGGCACGGCGGCCGGCGTTTGGGAGGAGAATGAGCATTTGAGCAGCAGCCCGTCCTCAGAACCCACCAGGAAAGTGTCGGGGTCCCATGGAGACAAAGCCAAAGCGGTGACGCCCACGCTGCCGCTGGCCTATGTAAGACATTGTTTTTGAACATTTTTAAACATAACTTCCCCAATATGGTCATACATTAGGTGTCGGAGAAATAATATTACTTGTTTAGGGCTTGTAAAATTTTGCCAACAATCATTTGTGTGCTTCATAGACTTAAAAACTTTAGGGAGCATAATTTATTTGAAATTAATACTAAGTATGTTAAACTTGATGAATTTATTTCGCTCTCAATGATGGAAAGTATGAAGGCACCCCTAAAGTGACATTTATGAGTCATCCATTTAGGGAGAACAGATCATTTATTAGTCTATATCCACACTAGTATATCAACTGCACTTTTCAGTGTTTTGTTTTAATGTTAAAATTCTCAAAGGATTTTTATTTAATAAAAATTACAAGCAACATTAACAGAAAGGCTCCCTTAAGATTTGCTGGATTAGTTTAAGGCTAAAAGTTCTATTCTTGTCTCTTTTTTTAAAAAGTGTTGAAAAGCTCAAAGCGAGAAAAATGTTTTTCATAACATGAACTACTATAATCATTTGGATTTGTTTAAAATATAGCTTAAAATATATTTTTTTATAATGCTACACCTAGATGTCAGATTTGAACACCTTGTCTGAGAATGTTTAGGAATTTCATTTTAGTCTGATCCTGGCACTTACCTTGAAATGTGAACTACTGCTGTGGGGAACCTGTTGTTGTATAAAAGCATATGCTGCGTTCAGGACCAATGTTCCCGGGTCCGAGCCCACAGTCCACACCAGCACTCGTCCTCCTGAACACGCGCTTAGCACCCCAAATTCTCCCTTCTTCTGCAGCGGCACCCAGGCAACCTGAAAACATATTTCTCTCTTTAAATCTCATCAAACAATACAAAACAATCTGTGAAGATATCCGTATACTCAATTTAGAATAATGCTCAGTTAATACTAAATTACGTTCATAAAGTAACGACACACGTTAGAAACTATCTCGCACTGGAAATGAAAGTTTTGCCAGAAGAAAATGAACCCACCTCATTTACAGGCTCTCTGTGGCTGTCTGACGACATGACGGTATGAGCGAGTTCAGGATCCGGAGTCTGACTGATGTCCCAGATTACCACCTCTCCACTGTAGAGCCCACCTGCAGCACCGAACACACACATACACACACACACACAATACAGGAATTCAGGTTACTTCTTCAATGCTACATTTCCACCTCAAGGGACGGCAGTTCTTCAGCTATCCGTACTGTCTTCTAGTTCATGACAGAAGCCCAGACTTTCCACTCTTGTGGCACTCTCAAGCTTCTCTTTTGGGATTGGCCTTCTCATCCCACTGGGGATCCCTCTCCAGTCCATGCTTGCAGCTTTCAGCTGCTTCACCTAATTCCTTTTGGTCTGTACCCCGATCTTGTGACTACGAGAGAGGTGTGGAAGCCTCCCAAGTCAAAATACACCTAGACTGGATGGTAAAACTCCCATGACCCCTCCGTGGAATCGCTACTTTGCATGCCCATGGTTCAGGATCCTTGATTTTGTGCTCCTCATAATTTGCAATGGGGCCATGTCACAGTGGCTGAAAGTCCCAGGAGGGAAGGATCTTGCTATTGTTAGAGCGTGCAAGTGGGTTGTAATTAGAGGGAAAAGTCAGGACGGCATGTTCCTCACGCCAGTTAGGAGCTATACGGATGATACTATAAAAGTAGGGCCAGATATGAAGGGAGTACTTGGCAGACTAGAAAATCCCACTTAAGAAAATCTAAAGTCTAAACCGGCCGAGGCAGATGGCCGCCCACCCTGAGCCATGGTTCTGCTCGAGGTTTCTGCCTGTTAAAAGGAAGTTTTTCCTTGCCTGTGTCGCCTAGTGCTTGCTCATGGTGGGAATTGTTGGGTTTCTGTAATTAACTTCAGAGTAGGGTCTGACCTGCTCTGTTTGGAGAGCGCTGTGAGACAACTGTTGTTGTGATGTGGCGCTATATAAATAAAATTGAATTGAATTGAATTAAATTAAAGTGGGGTGGGTCATTAAGAAAGGAGGGACAGTTGGAGCTCACGCCGACGGCGTACCTGCAAAGAGGGCCGGCTGGTTTGGATGACAGCACAGTGCTGTCACGGGCGTCGGCACGTTGATAACCAGGTCGGGTTTGTTGTCGCACAGACTCCCGCGGTCCACATTCCACATGCAAACACAGGACCTCTCCGTGATCCAGTCTCCATCGTCAACCCTGTGCCAGGAAGAGAAGCGCTTTAACACCTTAAAGATGGCGATACTGGAAAGTTCTATAAAGATGTGGGGGAAAAAAAACACTAAAAACACCAGGTTTGTTGTGTTGCATGCCAATACGCGGACCGACTCACAAACGTACCGACCGTAGCCGCAGACAACCATGGAACCCGTCGAACTCCAGCACACACTGGTGACGTGAAGACCTTTTTCTTGAGCACTGGGATGCTGAAGGCAGTGGAAGCATGAAACCTGCAAACACAACAGCTTTAAACAAAGAGCATCAGCCCCGGATCAGGTGCGTTCATTAAACGCTGATCTTGCTCACCAGCACACTTGGATCTTCCCAGTTTGCCTGAAACCCATCGAAAGCATGGCTCTGGAAGTTTTTGTTCAATTCTTCAACAACGAAGTCCTCAACTCCCAGCAAAAACTCCAGGAGGCCGGGTGGCACCGATTCGGTGCAGTTTTGCTGACAGAGATGCTCGGTTACTTGGTCCTGTGGGATTGTTTGAGTGGAGTTCTGTGCACAAGACGCTGTCTGGACTTCCACATCAGCGCTGTGAACAGGTCTGGTCTGACAGCTTCTCTGGAACATGGTAAATTTAAAAAAAGCCACTTCACAAGCCGCTTAGTTGTACTATAACTACAGACAGAGTTCTGAATCTAACAATTGTATGGAAATATGTCCTTTGGACAGATTGCAATTCATGAATATGTCATCCAATGCCTCTTCCATGCCTTGTCAATCCAACCTCTTCATAAAAAGCCCCCACCCAACCATACACACACACACACACATTACACACACTGTGGTCAGCATTGCCTTAACACTAATTAAGACTATTAGCTTGACTAGCTTGAGTCGTGAGACGTAAATAACTCTTCGTGAGTGTGCGAGCATCAATAAAAACCCTTCCAGTTTCCACATTTAGACCAAAATACGTTTTATTTCGTTATTCAAAGCTTCCAGTGGCTTTTAAAAACCTGTCTGAATGATGCATTTGCAAAAGCAGCCATTGTTTACGTCAGAATAGCAGCGCCCCATTGTAAACAAACGCTTCGGAAACCTGAGGCAGCTGCTCAAACGTACCGAATTCTGCGCTGTCTGACACTTCCTCCACTGTGTCGGGATGCTGAACGCATTCACAGCGTCGTCGGTAAACATGTCGCTGATAATAAGGAAAGAGGCCAAGCTTAATTCTGGACGTTGGCAAAAGTCGCCATGTCAATGAGCCGCCGCGAAGATGAAGCGGCGGAGCGCGAATCAAGAGAGAAATCCCCCCGCTCACTCCCGCTCGTTCTTAGAAACTAAAGTTTTTTTTTTTTCATTTCTTAAATTAAATACTACTAAATAAATGTTCGTACTGGTAGCTCGCATTTTTACATGTCAATAACGTCAGATAACATGGAAATACGGGCAAACAAAGTTTTATTTCGAAAGTGGTGAAAATATTTGACATATGGCGTCGGCTCTCTGCCCGCTTGACATTCTACGGTGACTATCAGAGTATGAACTAGAATGGAAAGTATAAATTATTGTCCAAAGCCCTAAAAGAAGTTTGCACCAGAAACCTTCTTGATTATTCTGTAAACACAATCACTTATGGTTGTTTTATACTGAAAAAATGAAAACTCCTTTGCAGTTTCTTTGATTTGTTAGCCCTATTCTTTTGAAAGCCTTGGAATAAAACAGAATGTATTTGTTGCTGTTATCAGAGAGCAAATGTGTTATTTATTCAGGTTCCAGGTAAAGTACAGGAGTGCTAGGATAAGACTGACGGAAGCTACCTGAGGAACCCCATCTGTAAGAAGAGCACCTATTTCCGGTTCAGTGGACGCTTGTCTTCTCGGGCAGAACGGAAACAGGTGGCACCACAAGATGGCGCACTTCGCCTACAGGAAAACCTCCAGAAAAGGGACGCTGAGGTCCGTTTCACCAAGCAGGTTGCATAAACTCTTAAGTTGTGCTACTCGCTGAGTTTTTGGTTTTAAAAAAGGCTGATGTAAGTCCACTCATCTCTGAAGTTTGACTTAAGCGACACAACTATAAAAAGCTATCATCGAATGAGCCCCGATTCGCCCAGTCGCCATGACAACAGGCAAGCGAAACTTTACTGCTGACGTACTGGGAGTTTGAATATTTTAATAGAAAAGGCAACAGAGTTGCAGCTGCAAAGGAGAGGAGAGTTCATACGATAACATGAAGGGGGGAACGTATTTTTCTACTTTAACTGTATATAAATGTATTCAGTTTAGGGGAGAAGCTCACGTGGCAGCAGCTGAAGATGAAAAATAAAAACGTTGTTTAACAGGTAAGACATGAGCATCATCTCATGGGGTACTTCCTTTTGACACAGTAATTATGAAGTGGCTGTTTGACTCCAGAGTTGTTTTCTATAATGCCTTTTTTTAAAACACATCAATGAGCTATCACCATATAATAATTCAACTTATTTAAACTAACACATACTTTTTTTTCAGCCGAGAAAATGTTGGACATACCCCCGTAAAACAGGCGGTGGTCCAACCCCTCCAACACTTACGGAGGCCTGGAATGGAAAGAATTCTTAGATTACTTTGTTTCCCACTTTCTTATTATTAATTTTCATTTCTGATTTTTGTTTTGTTTGGGAAAATACAGCTCATGAGAGTTTTTTTTAGATTATTTTCTTAATTTAAGTGTTTTTTTAAAATAAAAAAACAGTTCACAAGAAGATTATTCATACTCATACAGAAGTTTACTGTATATTTGTGGGAAAATAAAGAAGACAAAATTAATTGTGTATTATGTTTTTATTGCTGCTGTGATGGTGATGATGGTGACTCAAAGTGAAAAATGACCCTGCCAGATGGTGTTTCTCACTACTTTCCCATCCTGGGTAGCTGGCAAGAGGATACAGTGGTCATCATGGTCTTCAGTTTGTGGGGCAGGGTGTTGTTCTCCTCTGATAACGCCAATATTGTCAAGAACAACACAAGGCATAAGTATGTCACAGGCTCTCTCAGGGGTCATCCTGAGGTGACATAGGCACCAAATTACGTTGGGAAATCGTGAAAGGAAATCAAAATACTATTCCAAGTCTCACGTTGCAGCAAAATTAAATTAAGAGAATATTATTTCAAATTCATTTAAAAGATCATTCATCTGCAGTTCTCTGGAACTCTTCCTGGTTGGTTCGGATGGGTTTATTATCCGGGAAATGAACAAGGCAGGGATAAAAAACACTTTCAAGGCCAGGCACACCCTCCTTGCTGCTCTGTACACTGTTATGTTACTCTGGTGTTCATCATTCCAACTATCTGGACATGAAAGAGCATCTTCAGATGGACTAAAAACCCCTCTCCTGAAAAATATTTGATTCTTGTGAATTAATGCCGCACCTTCATTAATTGGATTCTTGTCAAAAGGACATGCTGTGTTTTTATTTTTAACATCTGCATATTTTACTTCTCACACAACTACGACAAAACTCTCCTTAATGAATAAGGAAATGAAAAAGAGGGAAGAGACATGAGAAACTGAGTTTATTGAAGAAAACCTCTTTCTGACCGGGTTAGTTCTGCAGAGAATGTTGCTACGGCAACCTGAAAGCTCTAAATGCACTTATTTCCTAATAGCATACAACGTGTAGTTACTTGTGTACTGTATGTTGTAGGTGAAAGTTAAAACCTTAATGTTAAATCCTCTTCTAACATATTGCACTCAAGGTAAGGTAAGTGTGGTGTTGTAGTTGAAGATTTAACGCTCTTTTTGTAAGTCATTTTGGATAAAAGCGTCTGCTAAATGCATAAATGTAAAGAAAACTATAAATTTCTCCTGACTAAATGAGCAAACAAAACTGTGTGGGCGGCTTTAAAGAGGGCGGAGACGGAGGAAACCAAGTTTGAGGAGGAAAACCTGCTCCGGACCAGGTTAGTTCTAGGGAGACTGTTGCTATGGCAACAGACGCAGAGGTTGAGCAACCTCTCTTTGTGAAACGGAAAACTCAGAGTTTCCCTCATTTCAGAGCTAACAGACTCAGACTAAAAACCTACTTCGTAAAATGGACCTCTGAACTTTACCAGCCACATTAAATCAGTAACATCAGCAGCCTTTTCCCATCTCAAAAACACTGACCGAATCAGAGGAATAGTGTCTAAACCAGACCTGGCGCTCCTTGAATAATGTGGAAGACAGCAGCAGAACATCAGGTCTCTGCACTGGCTTCCTGTCACTCAGAAAATAGACTTTAAAAAAGCTCTGCTTTTGTACAAGTCTCTTCATGGTCAAGCACCAAAATACATTTGATATGTTAGAGCCTTATGAACCAACTCAAACATTGAGAATTTGAGGTTCTGGTCTCCTGCTGGTCACCAGAGCCAGAACCAAACCAGGAGAGGCTTCGTTTCAGTTTTATGCTCCTAAAATCTGAAACAGACTTCCAGGAGTATTGAGACAGGCCTCAACTCTGATAATGTTTAAATCCACGCTGAAAACAGCTCCATTTAACTGTACACATGACAAATGAATGTATTGTATCTGAACTCTCCACTTTTAATCTATTTAATCCATTATTTTTAGAACTTTTTTCTGATTTGAAAACTCTTTGTAAAGCACTTTGAATCGTCTTGTACACGAAATGTGCTTTACAAATAAATCGGTCTTTCCCCGCCTGATCCAAAAATGAGTGTTTGTCGTCAGGTTATGCAGAGAACAGGACTTTTTTCAAACTTTATATGTTGGTTCAAACAGAGGCCAAACGGATTTGTCCTGTGAAGATGTGACATGCTTTGTCAAACAGAACCTTAATTATCTGGGTTCCGTTTCACGAAGCAGGTTTTAGGAAAACTCTTGAATTCGTTTACCCCGAAATGAGGGAAACTCTTAAGTTTTCACGAAGAGAGGTTCACTCAACTTCTGTATCTGTTGCCGTAGCAACAGCCTCCTCAGAACTAACCTGGTCCAGAGCAGGTTTTTCTCCACAAACTGGGTTTCCTCCGTCTCCGCCCTCTTTAAAGCTGCTCACAGGTTTCATTTCCTCATTCGGTCAGGAGATATTTATCATAATTCTGTGCGAACATTAAAAAAAAAAACATTAAAAAAGTAGGTGATTAAAACGCAAACGTGGCGTGTCCCTTTGACGAAGATCCCATCAATGTAGGCTCGGCTTCAATGCGCAGAGAATTAAATATTCGTCTGGAGCGGTTATATTTCTTTGCAAACGGCAGTTTTTGGGCGACGTTGGAGACCCAGCATGGTCAAGTTCCGGGGAATAAACCCATCCAGGTCATCCAGGAGGAGTTCCAGAGGATTGCAGGTGAGAGACATGTTAAATTAATTTAAAATGAGATTTCTCTAGTGACATCGTACTGCAACCTAAGACTTGGATGAGTACATTTTTATTTCTTTTCTAGGATTTACCAATCATATCGGGTGCATAAATGGGACCCACATTCCTATCAAGGCTCCCTCAAATAATAATTATGTGAATAAGAAGTCAATTCCCAGCATTAATGTGCAGGTACATCTAGATTGGCTGTTGTTACAAAGTGTTAGACTGCATCATAATTAAACGTGTGTCATCCTCTGCAGATCGTATGTGATGCTGCATATTCAATTCAATTCAATTTTATTTATATAGCGCCACATCACGACAACAGTTGTCTCACAGTGCTTTCCAAACAGAGCAGGTCAGACCCTACTCTGAAGTTAATTACAGAAACCCAACAATTCCCACCATGAGCAAGCACTAGGCGACACATGCAAGGAAAAACTTCCTTTTAACAGGCAGAAACCTCGAGCAGAACCATGGCTCAGGTTACATTTCGAATGTGGGGGCAAAGTGGTCCGGGTCGCTCCATGACTTCCAAATGTACCGCGAGTCTTACCTGAGCAAGAGACTCCAACGTGGTAAGCAGCCCAACGAATAGCACCATGTTCACTCGTTTCCCTTTAATGGACTCTAATGGCTCCACCACACTTTACAGGAGAGTTTGGTGGCTTTTTATTGGGGGACAGGGGTTACCTTTGCCAACCAATGCTGCTGACCACTTGCCCTGACCCAGAAGCAGGTCCCCAACAGAACTATAACCGGGCTCACTGGATGACCACAGGCCTGTTGAAAGGCCGTTTCGAGTACCTGCGTCACATCGGGATGACCCCCGAGAGGGCCAGTGACGTAGTAGTGGCTTGTGTTGTTCTTCACAATATTGCCGTTATTAGACAACAACACCCTCCCCCACAAAATGAAGACCCCGATGATCACTCCATCCACCTGCCAGCTACCCAGGATGGGAAAGTAGCGAGAGACACTATCTGCCAGGATAATTTTTCACTTTAAGTCACCATCACAGCAATAAAAAACATAATACACATTTAATTTGGTCTTCTTTATTTATTACAAATACACCAGCAAGTTAGTTCTTGTATCTTTCCAATAGTTAATATGAATCGCCTGTGACCATGCGCCCACTGATGACTGATGCTGGAGTATTTCTGTTTCCAGATGAGAAGATGGTAATACTTCAGTGGAGGCTGAATGTCGCAATGTTTCACCAGAATGTTGAGAAATGGGAAGTGAAGCATCAGTAACATAACATATCACCTCCACAGGCCTTCATGATTCCCCCTATTCCCTTTCCTTTCCTCGTGATCTTCATACTACATGAGTGAAATGTTTCAGTATTGACCTCAAAATACCATTTTGCTCATTATTTGGAGCACTGCGTGTGTCTGTTGTGGCACGAAGGGGCTCCACCAAGGAGATGGTACCACCAAAATCTGTTAGGACAAAAAAATGGGCTTGAAAGAGGATTACACAATTGTCTATAATGTGACTACAAACAGAAAATAAAACTGCTTAAAATGCCTAAAAGCTGTTTTAAGCCGAACTATGCCACAGCTATTGATGGAAGAACTTTAGCTATTTTGCTTATCAAGGAAACTATAAAAAATGGCTAGATATCAGCTCTTAGTTCTAAGTTCTTATATAATATGATATTTACGGGTATGAATATTCTTCTTCTGTTTTTGTAACGGGCATATGCCAATCTTAAAGCAATGATTCACTCCATCAAATGATCAGAAAAAAATCTTAGGAGATAGTTTTGTTCTTGTAGTCTTCGTCCAAACAAATGTACCTTTAAAACAAATTGAAATGAAAATGAAGAAACTGAAAAAACACAGTCTAATATTTCTTTCCATGGCTGCACATAGGCCAAGGTATCCAGCATGACTTGTTTCTTGGAAGGTGGGCTCAATCTTCTCCCACGCCATCTGTCTCTCCTTTACAGAAGCCACGCTGTTTCTCTTTCTTTTAAAAATATGTTGCAACCCCCCATACGCACGCATCAAAGTTTTCTAGTTCCAGTGAAGTAAGCGGACCTCCTCTTGTATGTTGTCATGGTGACGCAGCAAATCGGGGCTCCACTGATGATGGCTTTTTTTTTTAAAGGTTGTGACGCACACGCTTACCTCTGGGTCAATGAACTCAATAGCTGATTGAACTAACTCAAAGTTTGTAAAACCTGCTTTGTGAAACGGAACCATTTGTGTCTCACTCTAAAGATATCACTGTTTCCAATATGAATCCAAAATGAGCGTTTCTTGTCAAATTTTTTTTTAGTATATACTAAAAAAAACAACCTTTTTTTTGCATAACTTGACTTGATTGTATTGTAATATAGAATCGGATTCCAAAACTGGGAAGAGAACACAAATACAAGTGGAACAAAGAAACAAAATTCGACAACCAGCCGGGAACAGCATGGGAAGGCCATAGGACACCTTGTGCTAGACATAGAAGAACAAAAATATTTATGAGGAGTTTACTGGTGCAAAGTGACTTTCAAGGAAAGAGGAAGGTATTAGGTAACATTTTACTGGGAGATGGATGAATGCTGCTTAAGCTGAAAGCAAGGATCTCTTAGTGGAAAGGAAAAGGCGCTCAAACAATCTTAGAAAAACTGGAAGGTTTTAACAATGATAAATGCAATTTTTGAAGAATTCTTCTTCATATATGTTCAATTTTACAGGCTATTGTAAAATATTGAACCATTCTATTTTTTTTAATGGCTTTAATTTATCAAATGAAGGTGGACAAAGTGTGTTTTACGTCCTGTGACCAGTGACCTCGTCAGGGTTTACCTTTCCTCTTGCCCAATAGCTGATAGACTAAACTCCAGTACATTCCTTCAAGTACAATTTTCAGGATTGAGTCCAACTGTTGGACTGAATCCAGCACACCCTCTTTTACCAAGTCTTCAGCGCCTTGAAGAGCTGAGCTGCACACAAAAAAGACACAACCTGAGAGAACAAAAGGCCAGCCCTTTGCTGTCACCTCACCACCTCTGGACCTCTCTGTTCAGTCTGTGCTAATATGAAGAGTTTGGGTGTTGTTAGCAAAAGGGATTCTGAAGAAGATGCGTTGATTACCTTCGATGAGGCAAAAGCACAGGTGCAAGAAATGTTACATTACGATAGCTCGGTTTTCATACACCCTATACGACATATTGACCCTTGACCCTGCTCATATAAAGTTGCCTTTAAGGCTACCACCATCAAATATAAAATACCAGCCACGTCAAAGTTATTTTTCTCTCAAAAAACAGCAGAACTCAGTTACAAACACGTATAGGTAGCATCACGCTGCCCAGAATGCTACAGCACTGTCACATTGCAGGTAGCCTTTTCAAAGGCGTATATCAAATGTATTCATTCATATATTTGAATGTTTGTTAAAGTTAGTTTTGTTTATTATTGAGAACAACACTTATCAAACAATACTGCATTCATAAGACACGTTATCCACCAGGTATGGAGACAGTATTAGCAGGTTTTCATGGGCGCTATCTGTCTGAATGTTGAAGTTATCTTTGATAAGATGATTGTTTTCCTGTTCACAGTTATACAAAGTGCATCATTGCAGGAACTGCTTTCAATTAGTTGTAGCTAATTTTGTTTAATTGCCTTTGATGTTACTTTACGGAGAAAGCCCATATCTTAAATATCAAATTAATCAATAGTCCTTAAAAGCTTAGTTGCTTTTTAGAGCTTTTTAGAGCAACTGTGACTACATCGCTGTCTCTTTTCTAATTGATCTGACAAATTAAAGAAAAATGTTTCTGCATGGAATACTTATTTTTCTCAGGAAATCATGTTCATTTTTCTGAGAATCCCTAGTTAAGTAAAATTATAAATCTGGACATTTCCATGTAAATATGTTTTGGAATCAAGCCATTCATACTTACTTTCTCCAACACTACAGATAACAGCGCATCTTGGATTTGATTTGGACCCTTTCTGCCCAGCAGCTTTATACAGCAGTTTATGGTTTATGTTCTTAAATCTTGTTTCTGTTATTTAACTTTACAATGTTTTTTTTCCAGACAGTTCGTTCATTGTGCTTTTAGTTGAATATGTCTGGCTTTGTCCTCGTTGACCAGCTGGGTTCTGTTACTGACTGCCAAACCTGCTCTGCCAAAGTATTCAGCTCTCAGAGTATATTTACCACCAGATTTCCATTAGTCCATTTTTAACTTTAAGTCCTTGCTTAAAACCGCTTTTGTCGACATTTCAGTTTAATTTAAACTAGTTTCTCTTTACAGTGCAAGTAAAAAATAGACTTGTTAAAAACAAATAAATGCAGCCATCACCCAGACTTGATCATTGTGATCAACCTCTACCGATTTTCAGGCCCATTTTTTTACATTAATGACAGGCAGGGGGCGACTTACCTCTATTTTCATTTCCTTTCAGAGGATTCCTTTTACACTACACTGCAAAAAATTACAACTATTTCAGCCCATAAATTAGGTGCTTCTGGATTTTTTTCTGAATTCATATTATTCATAAAATATAAACAGCTTAATTTGATCTTTAAAGTAAATTCTAATCAACTGATACATTATCATGTTACCATTGAGAATCAAACACGTAAATCTGATACATAGACATAGGCAATGAGACATAGCATATGTAATAAACACCAATTACACCGTTAAAACAATTGGACAGGGAAATTGTTTTGCCAAAAATGATAATGAGGATGTGTGTATGTCTGTAATTGTGTTATGATTAATGGACCCTGTAGGGAATACACACTTTTTGCAGTGTGTGACGTGTGGGGGCCGAGCAGAGCACTGCTCCGATTTAAGTTCCAGTCATCTGGATGCATGTTATCACTCTTCAAGTGGCTTTCACCGTGAGGACCGCGCTGCGCCGGAGAACTCGCTTTGGGAAGTAAAAGGAAGTTGACATTGGAGGATTTACGCAGCGAAGACGCGTGGCGCAGACGCACGGTCCGGAACCGTGCCTTTCCCGACTTTACTGAAGGGAATTGAGTTGAAGGAAAGACTTGGAGGCAGGGTGAGGGGGTTACGGATCTCACCACTTATGGTTTGGTGGAACTGAGCTGCGTCGTCTCCCAAAAAACCGTGCGCTCTCCGCGTGGCCGAGCTTTTGAGAAATGGGATGCGGACGCGCGCTGGGATGCTGCCTGTTTGCGGCGCTGTCCTGTTGCCTCTTCCCCGGCTGCAGGAGCAACATAACCGTGGCCGTGATGCTGCCGGACAACCACCACAAGTACCCGTGGGCTCTGCCGCGCGTCTTCCCGGCGATCCTCATGGCGCACGAGGATCTCCACAGCAAACACAAACTGCTCATCGGACGCACCATCAACATCTTAAACTACAGCACGGAGGACCCCACGGCGGGGTCGTGCGCCGAGAGCCGGGCACAGGTGGTCGCCGTGGACGCAAAGCTTTACAACCACCCGGACGTGTTCTTCGGACCCGGGTGCGTGTACCCGCTGGCCTCCGTGGGGCGATTCGCCACCCACTGGAAGCTGCCCCTGATAACCGCAGGAGGACCCGCGTACGGCTTCTACCAGCGGGAGTACAGGACCATAGTGCGCAGCGGGCCCTCCACCACCAAGCTGGGGGACTTCGCCAACGTCCTGCACACGCACTTCAACTGGACGTCCCGGGCCGCGGTCATCTTCTACGACCTGCGCCAGGACGACCGGCCGCACTACTTTCTCTCCGAGGGGATTTTCTTCAACCTGAAGGAGCAGATGAACGTCACGGTGGAGGCCATGCCCTACACGCACGACCAGGACTACTCGGAAGTTATTACCTTCATGAAGGACAACGGGAGAAGTAAGTCCACCCCGCGTGCAGATGCGCAATTTCCAGGCGGCACAAACCATCAATCCAAAATAGAAACTCAGTCAAAGAAAACCGTCAGCAAGTTTTGCATATTGTCTTTAAAGAGTGTGGTTCTCTCCAAATAAAAAAGCGCACCAAAGTAGAAAAAAATAAGAAATGTCAGTGGATGGAGGCAATCCCACGCGTGGTCAAACATGGGAAACGTTTAAGTTATTGGTTAACACCTTTCCTGTCTTCTAATCAACGAAATGACAGATTCCACCTTTAATAACTCGTTTCCCAGACACAAATAAAGGCGAATGGGAATAGGTGAAGGGGTAAATCCTGCTTATTCCCGAATTACTGAGGAATGTTGAAGCTGTGGGCACTCTGCTGGTTAATTGCCTGTGGAGGACCACCACCTGAGCTTAGTTTGTTTTGTTTTTTTCTTTGACTGGAAGAATGAGAAGTCCCCCATTTAAACGCCATCCCTCGGGGCCAAAATAGGCTTAAGCTTTCAGCCTGTCTTAACCTGGGATGCTGGATCAGGCTGCAAAATGCTGGAATTTGGCTGATCGCAAATCATACTGACAGCGTTTTCCTCCTCGGTTAAGAGTAGATCGCACACAGCCGCGAGACGCTGATAAATCACTCATCGCCATTCCGTCCTCGAGCTTAATTAACTGGGAAAGTACTGTGAGGCAGATGTAATCGTTATCGCTGGAGCGAAAATGTAATTGGGAGTGTCTGGATGGGGGCCTGCACACAGCTGAGCGAGCTTTGGAAAAACAGTGTGAAAGTTTATACAAACTAATAATGCACAGCTTACCATGTTATAATGGTTAGAATAATTAAATGGATACTAAATGAACAGACAGCTTGCACTAAAATAGTAGCAGTTATGTAAGAAACTCCATGTTTCCAATGTTTTAATGAATTTGATTGTTATTATGTTTTTTTTTAACCAAGACTGCAATACTCTTTTAAATATACTATTTATAAAAAGTAGAATCAGAACTCGTTTCACCTTAAGGGAGGTCACATTTATTGCAAAAGCTTTACCAACACTCATATCAAAGCATTAACATATATTATTGGTACTTATGGTTTTTAAAAAGTGGTTTACATTTTTCTAAATAAATCAGGCAACTTATGTTTCTAATCAAATGTGTTTGTTCTGATTCACTTGTAAGCTGGGGAGGAAACTTGATCTAACTGAGATTTATTTATAAATGTTTTTATAATTTTGTTTTTATAAAATCGACACACAAAAGCAGACATGCACAATACACCAGATTTATAAAGCCTTGCTCGTGTTGTGTTTGGTTCTCTGATAACTTTCAGTTACAAACCAAATGTTCACTTCCATGTTTCAAAGATGGATGAGGACACTCCCCTAATTGATGATCTTATTAAAATATGATTTGTATCACAACACTAACGCATGTTAATAAGAATAACAGATAAGAAGAGGTACATTTTCCTGAATGTACTATGAGACACTGAATTAGGAATTAATGAGCATTAGTATGAATCAGCTCTATCAATTCTCATAAAGAGAACTGCCAGACAGAAAAAGTCAATAGAATTTAGAGCAAATAATTTTTTTTAGAAATGTTTGTGTTTAAAAAAAAAGAAAACACAGATGAGCTTAATATATACAGCCACTATGGTCTAGACTTGTGGATATGTCCATAAAGTTGTCCAAAATTTATCACAGCGTTTGGCTATTTTTCTCAAACACTATTTAGAAAGCTGACGCAGCCCATGAGCAACCGCTATGGAAAAATATAAAAGCAAATAAAAAGACAAATCAGAATTATATGTACTTGTTCTTTTTATAGAAGTCTGATTAGAAAGTTTTCCATGGCCATTATACATGACAGTGATGAATAGCAGTAGTTACTTAAAGCATTCAAAATGAGATAAAAGTAAACTGTAAAAAGCGATTAACTCCTGTTTTCATAGCTTATCTGTTATTGTATCAGCAACAGTTGCTCTAAAATGTCTGTGTATCCATAGCTCAAAGAATTCATTAAGGTCATACATTCTCATTCTTCTTTTAGAACCGCCATTTTTTTTGTGGTGGTTTTTGAGCTTTGTGCGTCCACATCATTGCTGAGATTTCGTCATATAAGTTAAGTGGACGTACATAAAAGCACAGCACTGATATGTGTAACATTTCTTTGAAACTGAATATTAAAAGTTAAAATGGCCCCTGTGTTACAGCTGCCTTTATGCATCCATAAAAACAATGTATTTATTAGCGAAATCCTAGCTGTAGGAGTGGAATTTACCTCCAACAATCAACCTCAAGATGTGTTTTACTTAAATTCAAAGACAGTTTCTTAAGTCTTAGTGGTAGTTTCTTAAGCCAAGTAGAAAAAATATACATATTTAAAAGGTTAATGTATTTTTTGTTGTCTTCTTAAAACATTTCTGGAGGCACACGACTTGACTGTGCAAAGTTAGCATCATTTCCTTTTGGGCTCTCAATAAATAGATAAGTGTAAACATTGTTTTTCCCATCTAGTGATTGAGAGGGAAGGTTACTTTACCTTAGTATCACAGGTGGGAGCATTGGCTAAATAGCTAGCATGGGTGCATTAAAATACCAAAATTCAGCTGTCTCTCATTAAATAACTGGTTGGTTGAAATTGCAATTTACAGGGTACAATATACCTTACTGTGTAAAGGTTTATATCAGTGGCAATTTCATGGCACTGGACTTGTTTTTGTACATAAGGATATTATCTCTTTGATAGAAGGTGATAATAATCATAGTTATAATACTGACGAAAATAATCTATTTACAAGTCATAGACCAGAGTGGATTATCTACAGATTAAAATCCAAACAATTTTCAGACACTTGCCAGTGATAATGAGAGTCGTTTGCTCTATTGTGATAGCATATTCAGTATTTACATTTACCTGTAATTGCAACCACCAGGGCCATATTTTCTTAGTTCATGTTAAGGCTCCAAGTCTCTATCTTTCTCATGTCGTATAAAAATAGTTCTTTCAGTAAATTAGTAAAGTGAATGTATCACTTTTGATTGCTTTGTAGTGTTTTCCTAGTTCCTATTCACTTATTATTATCATCACTGGGCAAAATCTGCTTCCAGTCTATAAATATTAGTTGTGTTATGATGAAAAAAGTCCACTTTTGGACATCTTTTTCTGCTGTTGCTGTAAAAACCTTTAGGTGATCAAAGGGCATCATGGTGGCAAAGAAAAGGGGTGAAAAGGGCAGCATTCCTACCCCCCACTCCCATCATCGATGAATTATAGTGCTTCTGCAGTGAGCTTGAGGTCATGGAAGCTAATGGTTTTGTCAGGGCTTGCCCTGGCTCAGCTTTCAGCCCACTTTTATCCCAGCAGATATCCTGCAAGCCGTCAGCTTTGTTGAGTCACTTGAATGCCGACTGGGTTTGAACAGCAAGAAGCAGGAAAAAAATCAAAGCTTTTAATGTGCACGTACACGTCAGTAAATCTTTGACAGATGAACATATTCATGGAAGCTGTTAGTTGACCTTTAAATGATCAAAATCTCAGTTTGAAAAGCATCAAAAACAGCTTTGGTAAATTTCTAATATCCTAAGATTCTATTATGTACGATTACAGGAGTCTTTTTATCTACTTATTTGTCTGTTGTGTGTTTAAGTTTAGCTTAAAACAGCAAATAAGACAGCACATGCATTATAAAGACTGACATAAGAGTGTTTACATTAGCAGAGTTTTCTTAACTGATGTGAAAATCAGGGTTTGGGGTTAATTTAATAATAATTCAAATGAAATACACCTGAATATCCTATTCCTAGGGAGACATCAACGAGGATGATAATTACTTTAATAGTCTATGATCATACTACCTATATTATTATGCAGTAGAATACAATAATTCCTGATATAATTCTGTCCTGATGGACAGAATCTGACCTGTGCCTGCCATCACGCCAGTAATCAATTAGATCCAGTAATGGATTAGCATCCGTAAGTGATGTAGGATGTTGCTAAAATCAACTCTTACACGACCATTTCCACATAATGAGCTTTGTGTCCTGTGTGTTTAATAGCTTCAGTACCACTGAACCAACAATTTCATTATAGTCCCCATTTTAGTTTTCGGTTGGTTTGGTTTTTAGTTTTTGGTTGACTCTGTTAACATTTAACAATTCACCAAAAATTATTCCAACACTAAAATCACATTTGAGAACAAAAAAGACGAGACAGATTTAGAAATAATTAAATAGGACCCAAAGAGCGCCCTGCATGTTCAATTATGAGAAACTCAATTTTATTAAGTATTTTTTTTACCTGGAACTCCATGTTTAATTCTAAGGGGAAAGTGTAACTATATTTATATTATATATTATATTTATTTATATTTATTTTATTTATTAATAAAGAAAGTTCTCACACATAAATAATCTAAATCTGTGATGAACTGTGATATGCTTTATAGCATGGATTTTTAAAACTGATCCATCTTCAGTAGGATAAATTTGACCTTAAGTGGCCATCTGTTACAGCATATCACTGACCTGGAATTGCATTTAGGGCCATCTTGGGGGACGAGAATGTGTGACAACTTGAAACAATAATGTAACACTGCTGTTTTTGGCCACACTATCGAATTAGAACACATTTGGTTAGTCTGTTGATACAACTGTTTGTCCGCCATTGTGAGACTCAAAATCCACCATTTCTATCTTTTTCCTTACAAGCCGTTACTGCTAGTTTCCAACCTTCCACATTACAATACATTAGGGCAAAGCTTGTGATTTTGCAAACAAGAAGGGAACTGATCCCATGTTTGATAGCCCAAGTGAGAATGAGTGCTGCTCACATTAATGCTGATCAGAGCCAGAGGAGGGAAATACCCCCTGGCTACTCGAATTTCAGGTTATTTGAAGGTGCTTTGTGTGAAATAAAAGGACGTAATGCCTGCAAAAAAGAGATAAAAACATATTTGTATTGTATCTTAAGTACGAGATATGATCGTATTTT